CAAGTGAAGACAATCCCTCTAACCAATTTTATGTTCCACTGTTATGGCATCACTCCTCGCCTCTATTTTTCATCCTACCTTCCAGTGTCTCATCCATTTTTCTCAAACCCACTTCTTACGGCCCATCCACTTAATCACACAATTCTGTGCTCTTGTTTCCTCCAATCTCGCCTAAGAGTGTGTGGCTGCAAGTGGGTTTAGTGAAACAGATGAGCAGAAAATTGGTCGGTGGGATGGCCTTCACTTGTCACTTTGTACTCAAGATGGCCCCTCTCACTGACTTTGCCGTAGAAACTTTTTGGAATGTACTCAGCCAATGGTCGAATGCAGAAAATCACGATTATTAAGACAGATGACATTGAACTAAGTACGCTCCATAAGGTCTCCCTGACGCTCCAATCAAAGAGCGAAAACAAGGTTGAACCAACACTGTACAGCCAAAGGAAACTGCGACCAAACACAAGGTCATGCTATCTCGGTCTTCATATCTAAGGCCTCATTGAAGTAATATGAGATGGTGATGAAGAAGAAGAATTTTCCCACAATCACGTTTCCATTGAATTTCACATTGCCTTGCTTACCCAAAAGTTGTTCTCATCCAGACAGAAGTGGACCGCAGTTTCGACCTTGCATCGGTCTTATCAAAACCCTCAGCGGGAATCGAACCGCGACAGTGCAGGATGCGAGAATGAAACACTAACCACTCGGCTACGCTACCACGAGCGACTTTTGGGTCACAGAGCAAATGTGAATTTTCAAGGAAGACCAAACCTTTTTATCATATCATATTCTATACGAAGAAATTTGGGTTTCGAGGAATCTCTTGTTTGATAATTGCTGAGCTTACTTCCATTTCGAGTAAAAGTGTTGCGTGAAGCGATTCGAAGCTCGGTTCCACCAGAAGACGACGGCGGATTCCTCTTGAATAGCTGACTGGTAGAGCCAGTTAAGTTAAAGCCAATCAAGAGCTGGTCGAGTGGAATCCGCCATCTTCTTATGGTGTAACCGACCTTAGAAGCTCTTCACCCAACACTTTCACCCGAAATGCAAGTAAGCTCAACAATATCATATTCTTTAGGTGCAATTGTCGATGAAGCAAACGTATATTTGCCATAGCAATCGACTACTCTTCTTTTATTTTTCGAATTAAGTATTGTTTTAGTGACTACCAGTAAATCAGTAATATGAGATGTATTTATCCAATTTCGTTTAAGGTGATTAAGGACTGGGTGAATACATATCATATTACTGATTTGCAGGTAGTCACGAAAACAATACTTCTTTTTCAAAACCTACTGATAGTCCCGAAAGCTAATAATATCGAAATCCTTTTTTAAACGATGGTTTCTTGCTTTGACGATAGCTGCCCCATGACAAACGGGAGCTCATTACGGATTCATCGGACTCGCAGTACGATTTAATTGGCAGGCATTCTTTATTTACTTTTAAGTCAAGCTAAATTACGAATTTTTTTATTGTAAATTAGCTTTTCGACATATGAAAGGTTAATATCTCATTTCGGTAAAGACTTTTAATTAAATTCTCTTACAATCATATGAGTAGGCCACATGTTTTCGTTGAATTTCACATAACCTTGCCTCCCCAAATATATCCTCAATCAGTCTGGAGGAGACTGCAAAATCGACCTCGCCCAAACTGCCTCCTCAGCAACCTCAGCAACCCCAGCACCCCCATTGGGACTCGAACCCATGTAGTCGATGGTGATAACAAATTCATATTTGCTTAATCGGCAGTCTCATCATCGAAATGTGATATTAAAAAGGTCTAGGCTTGCTTGAAGTTCATTTCTGCCCTGTGACCAAAGGCCACTAATTGCAGCTTGTTGTAGTGTTTGACGTACCGAAAATGTTAGCTGAATTACCAAAAGTCGGGTTTGAGTCTTGCTAGGAGTGATGAGGAGACCGGTTCAGGTCAGTATGAAACTGTAGTCCACGCCTTTTGGGAAGCGAGGCCATGCGAAATTCAATGGAAACTTGAGTTATGCTCATGTGATGGTGAGGAAATTCAACCACCAGTCCTTCATCACCTTAAACCAAATCGGATGAATACTGCTCTTAAAGTGAGGATGCGTTTCATTCACCTTTTCAATTGAAATGTCAACATGTTACAAGATTATCAAATATTTTCATGCTTGCTGTCGTATCCAGTAAATATGTGAATACATTACTCCCTGTTGGCCCATTTCCAGCTCACGAAGCACTAATTCCGCCACAATTAGGCTCTGTTTGTGTGAAAATTGGTGGCGCTGGGTTCGAGATCCACTTTCTATGTATGCAATACCCACAGCCCTCGACTGTTGGCCTGACCCTCCCTCTGTCGTCGTTTTGTCAGGTTGATTATTTTGCGGATTGGCGGGAATGACTGACGATGCCGCGCTATGCCTCTGAGACCTGGCTATTTTGTGTGTTGAAGCAGTCTTGAAGAGAGCATCACGAGCAAGATACATGTGTTGCTATGCAACAAACTGGGGAAAATGAATAGTCTAGTGACTGTTGGAAATTGTTGTTCTATGCTCACCTGTCGATTGCTCCCAAACGGTTTAAGACCCTGAAGAGGAAGCAGCGGCTTGCCACGTCGGGACTTCTCAAAGCATTCAATGCTGATAACTGTGCCAGAGAATAGAATAAAAACGAAGCTCAGATATTGGAATTTTATTTTTTATTTTAAATGCAAATCTGTATTTTTAGACTAACTTCTCTTTTTCCACAACATTACAGATGCTCATTGTCTGTG